AGTTAAGATACCTTAGGTCTTTTTATGTCTCTCAGGAGGTGTTGAATACCTTGTGGGACGAAGCCCTAAATCTGTCAGTGGGCGATGCTAGGTGAGCAGTGGTCCTGCAGAGCTATTCCCAAGCCACCCCATTCGCCTCTCCACTGCCCCTTCCTGCGCTTGCTTGTTTCCAGGATTTGCTGGCCCACCGTTGGGAAACGTGGCTTCGCCCCGGTTCCCAGCGCGCCCATGAAAGAAGCGGGGGCATCCGCACCCCCCACGCGCATTCATCCGGGGAGAGGAGCTTCCCCCTCACACCTGCCGCGTGGCACAAAGGACCCGGAGCCCGGCTTCCCTCGGCTGAGGCAAACAAGCGAACAAAAGCTGGGACTTTCTCTCCCCTCTGCCTCAGTGCCGATGTCAGGGCCAAGCAGGAGGCAGTGAGCTCTCCTCGTCCACCTCTCGCCCTCTCCCCGGTCCCGCTCGGGGCCGTGCTACGGGGGGCAGCCCTCCCTCCTCTCGTGACAAGACAAGACTTGCGCTGGGACTTCAGATCCAACCACTTGCTGCCATAATCCACGGCCTTAACCCACTTGCCTCTTACTTTTTCCAGCCCCTATCATTAAAGCTGTTAAGACCCCTTATAGAATTCCTAAATACCTTTGAAGTGCTGGCCTTCACTGTTGCAGCTTGCAATTTTAATGGTAGGGCAAACTAGCAGGTGAAACTCAGGTCAGCCTAATACACTTAATTTCCCTAAGCTCCCTTCACAGCTAGCGAGGAGAAAGGCCCTTCATGACATCTTTCAGATTTGCTAAATTAGCCCTCAACTCTGAATCACCTTCTGAATAGACTTGTCATGCTCCATTGACTACAGAGGGAGCCTAAGGACAACCTCCGAGATTAACCTTCCACCTCACACACAGGGATGGTGGGTACTTAGCATTGACAAACTGCAAAAAAGTTTTTTGAAGCAAAGGTGTTAACTGAGAGTGTATCACTAAACTACAGTATAAAGCACAATAATGGCTGTTAAATTGTTGTTGTCACCGCTACTAATAACAACAGCAAAGAATTTACATTTCTGCATTTAAGATTAGAGTGGTTTTCATCTCCCTTGATGAAATCCATCTACTTCAAGGACCTGTAGCATAAACGCTGAAAAGTAGGAAAGTGGCTATTTTGTCCAGTGTTTTTTCATATTCTAAGAGTTTGCTATTCTGCCTTTATTTACCCCTTTATTGTGACCCTTAAGTTAAGGTTGCAGAGCACTTATTCTTTTGGGTACACACTGCACCGAAAGAAAATTTACTGGTCTTTTTCTTCCCATGCTGGTAGATAGAGCAGGGGCTTATTTAGGGAGCTTTCCTGATAAGACAAGTAGCAGTGATGATACGCAGTCCCAGTTCAAATTCAGCTACTTACAAAACAGCCTTTATCACAGGGAGCGTATGTTTTGTCTTTGCGACACTCAGTTGTGCAGGTGGCTTGATGGACCCCTGTCATCAAAGGAGGACAGTGGCAAAGAGAACAAATATTATACTTCACTCTCGGCTGAGGATAAATGGAGACCTGGTCCTGCCACTCCTTGGGTTTTTGCACTGGGAAGCATCCTGTTGAATCAGTAGGACTCTGTGCATCACATAAAGCACAGCATTCGTGTAAATTGTTACAGGACTGAGACACTATATATTTTAGGATCTTTATATATTATATCATGAGTCTCGAGACATTTCTCCAGATTAAATATGGTCCACTTCACATTCAGAATTTATCCAGAATCAGGTCCTGAATTCAACATAAATCTTTTTTAGTATATCTTGCCAGAAGACAAGAGGAGAAATCTCTGACTTTCCTTGCAGCCAGTTCCTTCAACTGCCCAGGTAATCCTATTCTTGGGACAGGGCTCTTCAGCACCTCAGTCTGGGACCTTTTTTGTGTCTTTCTCTGACACATGTACTTAGTTTCTTGTTGTGTTAAACTTTCCATCAGGGATTCTATTTCCACCTTCCAGAATCACCTCTCCTCAACATTTCTTCCCAAGACTCCCAGGCCCACAGAAGTTTAGAGACTGTGTATAACAGTGACTCCATGCGACTGCAGACATCACAGACACATCCCTTCCCTGATAATCACTTACTCCCTGAGTTCTGGGTCAGTAGTAAATTAGCCTAAGCCCAAACAGAAGGTCGAAGAAAGGAAGAAAGCAAGCAATCAAGGAAGAAAGAAAGAGAGGGACAAAGGCCAGTAGGGATAATATTGCCCTGCCTTAGAAAGTGGAAGCTGATCCATTGTTCTTTGCATCAAGAACATCTCCAGGCAGCCACTTTGTCAGACTGAGGCCCACTGTGCACCCTGGAGCAACACCAACTGCACTTGACTGAGGTTGAGTATCTAGGTCCCACGAGCATCCATAGTGCTATGTAATGAATAATAGAAATACAGGAGATAATGTAATAAAATAGGTAAAGTTTTTCAGACAGAACAAAAAAAATTTATTTGGGTGCAGAACTTTTATTATGAATATATTATGAAATGCAATAGTATGCAAGTTAATTATAATTGTCATGGAAAGCTCTTTTCCTCTATCTCCAGCATACTATGTTTTTCTTTCACTCTGCCTCCAGACCCTCCAATAAAAAACACTTAGCAACTGCTAAATAGCTATCAAGTAACTGAAAATATTTTTTTTTTTTTTAAGAAGTATTCTTTCTTGTGTTTTGAACAGCTTTACCTACTGAACAGGACAAAAAATAGTTACTTACCTTTTCAGATCCAAGCTCTCATCTTTTGCTCCTGGGGTAGAAACGGAGGGAAGAAGCAAATTAAAAGGACTACATTGTAACTTAGAAAGCAGAGACTGAATAAATACAAATAAAAAATATTCCTCTCTAATGAAAACAATAGTTTCAGCAGTGACTGTGCAGCAATGAAGGAGCCCCCTATAGCTCCGTATACCCAGAAAGGATGGAGATATTTTTCTGTAAGACACTTGGTGTGTGGGTGTGTGTGCATGTGCCTGTGTATGTGTGAGCATGTATTTTATTTATATTTAATGTAAAATCTCATTTGACCACAAGTCAAGTGTAACAGTCTTTCTTAAGAAATGCTCTCAGAAAACAGTGAAGATTTTATAACAGACTTGTGTTTTACTATAAGCTTACAGGTTTTTTCCTGCCATTTGGGTTTCTGTAGAGATGATTAGTACAGACTAAGTAAGATAAACCAAGAGAGGATCTCTGCATAGGTGACTTCCCACATCATCGTAAAAGATGACAATGGACAGAGAGTTGTATTATTATTTTGTGGGAATGCTTCTTCTTGAACGTGAACAGTTGATTGTGCAAATTCTCCATTCTCAGTGAAAATTAAGTGTTGCTCTGTCATCTACAAAGCAAGGGATTAAGTGAGGGTGTCTCTGTGTGCATGGGCGACTATCATGCATTTGAGTCTTAATTACAATTCTACCCTGTGCAAGGCCAGAGGGATGATGAAATACAAACAGGTTTTTAAGTTCAGCTGTAGAAGTGCATAGGTTGAGCTCTGGGATCTTACAGTTCTTGAAGTGGCCTTTGCATTGCTAGTGGCTACTTTTGTGTGGACGTCTCATCCCACTCTCCCCTGCCAGTCCTCCTTGCGTCCATAGACTCACCTAATGAACCACCACTCCCAAAAGTTTGGAGCAGCAGAACTTGGGTTCCTTCTGCATGAAATCCTCTCCATTCAGGTACTCCATATATAACAAAAAGAGGCTACGTAAAGACAGAGATGCCTTCTAAGGCCCTATTCCATGTAGGCAACCCACCAGAAAAGAGCTGATCCAAAAGCTCTTTGCCAGGCCTGTTTTATAGCTTAGTCAGCATTTGGGGACAGAGGTGGGAAGGACAGGAGAAATCAGAGACCTGTGTGCCCTGCATGATGGAGCTTTGGGAAAATAAGCATGACTTGAGACAATCCCCAAGCAGCTCAGGCTTACTGACAAGATTAGACATCTGCCATGGAAGAACAAGAGCATCTTAAGACTCTCATTACTCAGTAACCTAAAAATGTAACCAACTGCTAAGCAACATACTAAAAAGGAATTAAAATTTTTCTTTTGTAATTAAACAATAGTGAATACTTGGTCTCCTTTCCAAGGATAGGATTTAGGTTTCTGAGTCCATTAGTGGTTTAAAGACTGCACTGTCAGTTTTCATACCTTATAATACTTCACTTTCCTCCAAACAATTTCAGAAGCCTGTATAAACCTCCTAGTCTTGTAAACAGTGTGAAGCATCTCCGTCTTCTGGCAGTGAGTGATGGAATGGCTTGTATGGAGTACTTAATTATTCTAACATTTTAACTAATAATTGGACACAGAAACAAAACCTGGAAAAGTATTTGGAAAAGAGAGCAAATTAAGGAAAGAAAATATAATGAAAGAACAAAAAGAAAGAATAAGAAATTAACAGACAATGAGCATTACCTAAATTTCTGCATAATTCTATTCAGTCCATTAATGTAATTTAACTTCTTTGCTCTACTCTTGAGGCCTAATCCTTTCTCACCAAGAACACACATGCTCATTAAAATCACTGTTAAAGTAAAACAGATGAGCTTGACAGAGCTGGGAATAAGGTTTTCCCACCGCTTAGCGGATAGAGTAATTTAACAAAAAAAAAAAATAAATAAAATCAAACTCCTTATTTGTAACCCATCATTGTGTCAATATTACACAGGTTGAAATAACTGTATACTGAAACAAGTTCCTTACAGAACCAGTAAGTGTCATGAATTGAGGCAGACAGACTTCAGTATGCACAAACCAAAGAGCTGTTTTCTGCTAGAATAACTTTCTGGCAGATTTCTTTCTACAGATTAAAACTTTTTCTGAATTTACAAAGAGTGTTTCTGTGACAAGCAACACCTATAGCTGATGGGAAAATAGCACAATAAAGAAAGATCACTAGGAATACTTGGAATTAATTTAAGAAACTTCAGAAGTCCCCTACAGTTTCCACAATCAAATGAGAACACCACACTTCAGTGTATTAGTTTATTTAATTCTTTATCGCCACTAAGAGCAAGTAAATTATGTTGATACAATTGGTAAACATATACATTCGCTAGAGCCTCCCACAATCCCACAGAACTAATGGAAACATTAAGGGATGTTACAGGATTAATGCTTTCATTCTACAATATGGATATATGGCTTTCATACAAGTTTTAAAAAATCAAAAGGGTAACACACTGCTAGCTTACAAAATCAATATACAAACTGGAAAAAAAAAAAAAAAAAGGAAAAGGAACAGGAAAAAGAGAGTAATCCATGAGAAGATATCATATAGCACTGGTTTAATAGATATATACAGAATTAGAAATCCATTGAACACAATATTCAGGCTTTAATTTGTTATTTTGACTTCCATTCCTTCTTCCTGTTTAGCACACAAACTACAAGTATTAACATGATTTCTGTTTTACTTTGTTTTTTCCATCTTTTTTTCTCATTTTCCTCCCTTTTTATTGGCAGAGAAAAAGCCTTTTTCTGCCTGGGTTTCTATGTTCACACCTAACTGAAGTACTTTTTGAAGCTTTGAACAAAAGCCCTTCCATGTACTTGGCGTGACAGAAGAGAACATCACTCTGATACTAAGTTCTACTGGCCATTTCATTGGCATGTGTTTTGCATTTTTCTTGGACACAGCCATCCTTAAACTGATATGCTGGCGAGTCCAAAGAAACCTAGCCCTTCATCCTATATACTACTTTTGTACCATTGTGTAAATAACGACACAGGACAAAAAGTTCTTTCACTTCTACTTTAGCTTGAAGGCAGCACTAGTTGTGAGAGACATTTTGAGTTATCAGTAGACTTTTTTACAGGGTTTTGCTTCCCCATATCTGGAGATATATATATATGCAGTATGCATGCACGTATATTTAGAGAGCTGCTGTGTCTGATGCTGACATTCTCATTAGTTGGTTTCCAGCCCCAAGCTGCAGCAGTACTACCCAGCCTCTGCTTCAGGTCCCCTCTGCAACCACAACACAGCCTGGATTATCAGAGTCATTTCCTTCAGCTGTAAAAATCTAGATGACCTACATAATTACAATATGGGAAGGGTAATGAATGACCTAATGAGAAAAGTTAAATCATGTCTTGTTGCCAGGTAGATTAGAGTGAGGGAATTCAAACAGCGTAATTAATTGAATTAAATTGGCGATGGGTAAGACAGTCCTGCAGAGGCTATCTGTCCTCCTACCTTTACATCACAGAATTCAGGGCTAAAGCTTTTGTGTAGTCTTTGAGTAACCTTCAGAAATGGGAATACTTGGGAGCCTCTGTTTCATCTCGTCCGTAAACTCATACATTGGACACATGCTTTCACAGTTTTGTTGTGGGTTTTGTTTGTTACTGTGGTTTTTTTTTTAAGAAAGGAGTAAGAACTGTAGGTACAGTTTTTTCATAGGCAACTCAAAGCCAAGCTATTTAAATGCTGGAGATACCTACAGAGTTTTCAGCCATCTGGGACCCCAAGATACTCTACATTTAAATGGCAAACTGCAGAAAGGGCAGAAAGAGATAATGATAGTGAAATATAGCTGAATTCCTATGTTTTCCCTGAAATACCTCTTTTCTGCTCAGGTCAGAGTCATGAGGTAACAAGGCAGACTGCAATTTTTGAAGAGTAGCAGAAAAGGAACATTAGGAAAATTATTAGACTTCAGCATCGTTTAGTTTCGGTCCAAAAGCACACGAAGTTTTCTGCTGCTATGAACACTACCTAGACTTTGTCCAAATGCAAACACCCATGGGGTAAAAGATGTCCTCTCCATGCTCTGTTTGCTCAGGCATGTCTTCCACTATTCCTGAAGCTCTATGCACCATGTCTCTTCTCTTTAATTTGGTGGCAAAAAAAAAGGACACTGGGGAAACACACAGCTTCTTGCCACTGTTTATATAGCTAAGTTATTTTCTGTTTGAGGGCAGACACTATTTCATCATTGTCTCTAATTTTTGATCAAATGTGATGCATTTCTGTCTCCCAGGAAGCCTCACCCAGGTTGAGCTATGACAAAGCTTTTACTAGCAAGCCATCCTCCCATTGAAACTAGGGAATCTCTTTGCTTGTTCTCATACTTCTTTGTTCATTATCATCTTACGATTAACAAGTTGCTACTGTGTCCTCTATTCTTAGAAGGACAGAATGAGAGGTACCTGATGGTAGGGGCTTGCTGGGGCTGTTTTGCAACAATCCAGCAAGAAATGGAGAATACAGCCTCAAGCATGAGGAAAGATCAACAATATCCACAGAAGTTTGGCTGAGAGGTAGAGTGCCTTAGCAGAATTGACAGAAAACCTACAAATACTATCAAAATTAGAGATGAGTGGGGGAAGGCAGACAATGGGTATAATCTGTCATTGCAATGGAGAGAACACAGTCAGGAGTTCTCAGAAGATGCTGTCCTAGAGAATTTTAAAAGATCTAATATGAAATACCTACTCCCATTGACATACCGTTTCTCCTTCCTATAAGAATTTGGGTCATGTGAAAGACTACTGTGTCACGTCAAAATGCTGTACCTCACCAATATTTTGCTTTAGAAAAATGGCAGGTTTACACTGTTAATGTAGGTGTAGTTCCTAGACTGAGGGAAAGTCAGGCTGGCTTTTGTCCCACCCTCATCATTGACATCAGACTAAGGAGACTCAGATAAAGTTCATCATATGTTAAGGGACTTCATTAAACAAACGGGAATGCTACACAATGTTTATCTTCAGATGCTCCCTGCTAGCAGCATGGTTAGTTTCAGGGGGTTTATAGGCCCGTTTCCATAAACAGTCTCAGTAAGTATTCACTTCCCCTTAGTTCATCCTAATGCTCTGTTGTTTTACTTGAATTTTCCATTGTCACATGTCAAGTGGTGAAGGATATACACCAAAGTTAAAGAAATATGTTATGTTTTCTATCAACATCATTGTAACTTGCACTCCTAAACCAGAAAAAGACAGACATACTTTGTCTCTTTTTGCTATTGCCTCCCATTGGACGTGTTCTTTTGAGGTTGGAGTGGGATTTTACTTCTCTGTAACGTTCTACATTTGATTATTTTTCATTAAGGCATAAATCAAGCACAGCATAAAAACAAATGTGCCAGCCAGTCATCCTGTCTTCCCTACTCCAGGAGCATGCAAAAGAAGTTTGTATAAAATGCTCCTGACTTCATATCTGTCTCTTCTTGACAAAGATTCCAACACTGTTTGTTGATATGTTTTATAATAATTATTCTTTCATTTCTTCTGATTTTTCTCCTTTGAAAAACAGTACAGTCCACAATGTCATTATACAATTAGAAGATGAGAATCAGTAATTTAAAACTTTGTATCTACCTTTATGTACAATAAATGTTTCCCCTTCCTGGAGTCTTGCCATCCAGCTTTGCTGCACTTAATAGTCTGTTAAATATGCCAGGCTGACAAGCAATGATTCTCTTTCAATATGGGCACTTCTGTCAGGAGACACGTCAAAGTCAGAAAATGCCCCAATCCTCAAATATTGTTTTGAATCAAGATATAAACAAACCTAATTGCTTAGAAGCATGGCTCAGTCTACTTAGAGGAAGGGAACAGAGTTACACCCAAATTCCCCTAAATTTAAACTTGCTAGAATCCAGAGTCTGGATGCAGATTCAGATTTTAGCTCATGTTCAGCAACATACCCCTCTCTTTTCTAAGAGATTTGAGTGCTCAGAAAAAAAGGCTGTCATTCGGGGGATTTCTATCATATTCTACCATATTATAGCTGCAGCAAATGAAGGTGGAAATCACTTCATGAGAGGGACATTTGTGAAACAAACTTCAGTTGGCTAAACTAGCTAAGCAACACATCTATGCTAAGTCATTTTCAACTGTAACAGGATAGCACCAAGAGAGCAAACCACATATTTCATCTGAAGTAGCCACCCCCACAGCACTGGCAGACAAGCTTACCCTCCCAAAGGAGGGAGGGTAGAAGATTAGAGAAGAATTGAAGAGAAATTTCAGAATGACCCAAGTGGAAACTGAGCAAGATAGTATGGAAAGAGGTTTTCTTCAGATACTTTCCTCTTACTTTCTTGATAATGTTACTAGTGAAGCAACTGCTTCTGTCAGGTACCACATATGTCCTTTCAGAGCTGACCTGACTGACCTGTTCTACTCAATCTTCCTCCGTGTTCTGCCATGAATTTCTTTTATCATTTCCTTCATAGCTAGAGTTTCCACATAATGTTTTCTGCTAGTTTCTTGGAAACATTTTTCATTGTTTATAAACTATGAGAGATACAACTCCAATTATTTTCAACAGTAGGATGCCAATATAGATCCAAACATATTCAGCTGAGTAGTACAGAGGAAGTGTTCTCCTATTTCACACCCTTTGCTACCAGGACTGCTGCGCTTTCGTCTGGTCTTAATATTTTGTTTTGGTTTTTTTCCTTTGTTTTCCCATGGAGGCCCTACACCACCATAGGAACTTGACTGGCCTCCTTCAAAAACTATTAGGAATGTTCCTTTAACAAGCCAGATGGGCAGTTAATCATAAGGGCCATAAGGTGTCAGAAGAAACAGAGAGGAATTTAATTTCTTCTTACTCACAGAGGTGGAAATCAGAAGTCACATCTAAGGTTTGCTAAAGGACAGTCAAACTGTTGGTCTCAGCATCATTCCCAACTCCTGCCAGCTCCCTATGAAACATGGACTAGATTAACCAGTGTAAGACAATGGTGCAACAGTGTTCGCACTCAAAGCTAAACCACTTTAAGTGAGCTGATGCAGCATTTAGACAGACAAACCTTTGGTGAGTGAAAAAGCTTCTTTCTCCCTTTGCTTCCAGTCAGACCTACCAATCCACTAGTTTAAGTCTGAGGCACAAGCACAGGTAGACCTGATTAGACCATGAACAAACCAAATAGCACCCAGAACCACCCAAATATGAGCCTTTATGATTTTGGGTTTGGTCATTGCACATCCACCACATGCTGGGGACATTTTTAACTATACCACTGGCTCGGGTATGTCCAACAGCGTAGTCAGAATAACAAGGACATCAACACAGACTGCAAAACACACCCAAGGAGTCTGGGAAACAACTGTGTGGCTAGTCTACCTTGAGCTATGCGCAGAGCCTTGGCTAGCTGGCTTGAGAAGGGTTTGGGAACATCTACAGGATTTGCCTGACTGTGAGTTCAGATCAGCCATACCCTCCATGTGAGAAAAAAAGAGGGCAAGCTCTGCAACTGTTATCAATTTTTTTTTTGCATAGAAAAGGGGAGTGATGTTAGTCTGGAAAAAGACTCTCTGCTTGTCTACAAGCTAATCCCAAGAGAGCAATTTGATTTACTCAGATGAACACGCCCTGCTGCAGCTTTGCTGAAGCCAGTGGGTACCCACAGCAGTACGAGGGAGACTATTCCTCCTGACCAGCAGGCAAGCCTGCAGCCTACTCAAATGGCAAAGATTATTTCTTGGTGTTGAATTTTAAGATTTAGAATTTAAAAGCAATGATTTTTCAATTCATTTGGGCACTGAAATCCCTTATATTTCCTCTAAAATGTCTGGTTGCTTAGTTTGGTGACCAACCCCTTCCCTGGGGACAGACTAGCCCTTTGTCAGATCTTTTTTCTACTCAGTGACTTTTCTCCGGACTTATTGTCATTTAAAGTGGGTAAAATTGAACAAAATTAAAAGGAGCTGGTTATAACTTTTCCTTTTCTTCCCGTGCAGATTTCCAAAAAATTTTTAAAGGAAAGAACCGTTTTTATTTTGACTGAGATTTTCCAACCTCTTTTTGCTTATATAAAAATGGAAGAAAGCAAAAGGTACTGGTTTTATATTTCCCTTCTGCTTTACTAACAGAGAAACAAAAATTAACTTCATTCTTATCAGTTTCACGTCCCACAAACTGCCACATTTTTGGTCAAAAATATGAGCTATCTCAGGCAGTTTCCAAATAAATTTCTTTTGTTACTTCCCACCAGACATACTATTTTTCTACCAACTCTAATTCAAATCAACAGAAAGATTCCCACTGATACAAAAGGGAGTTGGGTCAGGCAGAATCGCAACAATTTCAGCTAGATTTTAGTGAAAGGGATATTCTCCCCTCTGGCAAAACAAACAAATAAAAGAAAGCAATTTTCTGCTTTTATAGGTAAAACAGAGGACACTACCATCCACCAGCATTGATACGCTAAAATATGAAAAGTTTTGCTATCGTTTCACTTGGAAAAATCATTGCTAGAAAATAGTGAAAAATTTGGGCTCTTCTATGTACAACTGTTGAAAGATTTCAGAATTTTTACTGCCAACATGCAAAATATGACCAAGGATAAGAGTGTGACTTGTTTTTACCTGGAGATGGTGGCATTTTGGAATGAGTATTCACCACACATCCGAAAAAATTATATGGCTGTAAATACCCAACAAAATGCCCCCACCCTTTCCTTAAACAAATAATTTCATAGTTATCCAGATGTAATACGAACTTAAGAAACAAGTCTGGTTTTTTTTTCAGATATAAGGTCCCAATCTTAAATATAACTGTATCCAGCCAGCCCCCTATGTTAACTCAGGGCACCGCTGGCTTCAGCCGAGCTCCACACAGGTTCAGGTTCTGCTTGCATGGAGTAACTAACAGAATGAGACCTATGGCAAGACTTGAGAAAAAAATATTTTTAAAACCTCTACATTGTTCAATATACAATAGACATAATTTTCTAAATGAGTTTGGAGGCCTTTATTACAGGCCTCTAAAAATTGTTGTTAGGGTTATACATTAAAAAGACTAAAGTAATAAAAAAGGATTTTTTTTTTTTTCTGTGTTTGTTTCCTTCTATGGTACCATTAAGCTATAAATAATTTTAGGATAAAATGCCTAGGTATAAATGAAACTGTTAACTGATCATGTTTGCTGATGTCCCTTTCTCACATTGCCCAAGTTGGCTCCATTAATCCAGCATCTTCTCTTGTTTCTTGCCTTCCTTTTTCTTCTTCTTGGATTCTGTCAAGATAACAACCACCATAAAAAAAATTAGCATCTAGCAGTCACTGCAATAAATTTCATTCAATACCCCTGGAGAGTTACCCTTGTTTCCTCTATGCACATAAGAACTAATTTTGTTTCCTCATTCTGAACAAGGAAAGGGAAAACAGAAGGAAAATAAATAAAAAAAGGAGCAGTCGAGGTGCTAGAGACGATGGAAAGGAGGATGCTCATCCCGTTCAGAACCCTTCCTATCTGAGCAGCTGACCCTGTTTGGCATGCAAAGCATTGTTTCAGGAACTTGCTTGGAAAATAAGAAAACAGCAGGCAGCTCCTGGAGAAACCGGGTCATGGCTCAGTGGAGAGCTGGAAGGAAGCTTTGCACACACAACCCACGCACATCCCCCTCCGTTTCATTGTTAGTCTCCGGCTTTCTCTGAATGCGAGAGCAACTCCAGAGCGTGGTGAGAAAAAGCTCACTTGTTTCTTCAGCTTCCCCCCTGCCAACCCTTCCCCCTTTGCCTGGGACAAACACCTAGGTACACTTGAGAGGCAACTGAGGTCCGGGCAGGAGTCGTTCGAGCACTGTCTGCCCACCCAGCTGGTACCAAAAGGATGGGGAGAGGACTGGGGAGCACCCGCTAATTTGGGGTAAACAGGGGAGCACTGTGAAGGTGCAAGTGCGAGTTTAGATATTATACTACCACCTGTGGCAACCTCCACTGTGCTATAGGGTGCTGTGGTGTTCCACAGGTGGAGGAAATTCACAGAGGGGCCTGAAAAATGAACATGAATTAAGGGGACTAAGTACTCTTGTATCACATGTCACCTTGTAATGGGGGAAACAGCAGCTCTCGCTGGGAACGTGAGTAAATTTTCATGGATACCACCACAAAACACAGCACAACAGGTACTATAGAGAGACAGAAACTGAGTTTCTGTGAAGTATCTTTCCCGGAACCAAAACAGCAAGCAGTGTTTGCCCCATGTTTGCCTTAACCCAGATTTCACTTTCCACCTTTGAATCCTGCTGTTGTTTCTTCCTCCTCAAAAAACATTCCCTCCCACCCCCACTGCCCCCCCCAACAAAAAAAAAAAAACAACCCACAACAACAAAAAAAACCCCAACAACACAAACAAACAAACAAAAACCAAACAAACCAACAAAAAAAATCTCAGGTTAAAAAACAAATATCACTGTGAATGAGAAGACAAGCACTTGACCCTTAAGGTGGTACTCTTCTTTGTGATTCTTTTCTCTCTGACCAGTTTGCATAACAGAGGCTGTCAAGCAGTCATCAGATCTGGTAAAACCAGCTTACTTGCATTAAAGCCAAGGAAACTACACTGACATCTTTCAGGTATGGATAGGACCAGTGTGCCTTCAGCAGAAGGCAAACTTAGGTTATCACATTTCTCTGATGGTTGTTTTTCCTGTTTGTGAGTGTTCAAAACAACATTTTTTTTTTCCTTCATCTTTTTCAACAAGACAAAAATTCTTTCCAGTTTAGTCAAAGCAAAATAAAATACCTATTTCATGTTTAGTCACATAATCTGCCCTAAGAATCTCTTTCCCTTAAAAGCTCTGTTTAACATTTAAAGGCATAATAATTTAAAAAAATAAGTCCCTTTTTTTTGTTTGAAAATGTGAAAATGAACTTCCCCCCCACCCTACCTTTGTGTGTGTGTCCATGTGTGCATGCATGTGTGTATAAGCATACCTTCATTCTGGAGCTATTCACAGAATCTGGGGCTATTTTACAACCTGTCATTCCAGAATGTCATTTTTTCATTAAGTTAGCATCTAAAGCTAAAGCTTTTTTTTTTCCTCTACAAATTTTCTGTCTCCTCTCCTATCCTCTTTCACCCATGTCCTCCACCTCCTCTAATTTTCCCTCTGTATCACCAGCCCTCCTAGATTCTGTACTGATCATGCTCTCTCTCACTCTCTCTCCTCCAACACCGCTCTCTCTGAAAGCAACAGCGGCATTTTATCAATCAGATGAGCTGTAAAATCTATTTAGATCCAGCACAAGCAGAAAGGCATTCTGCAGACTTCGACTAAATTAACTAAAAGCAAAGGAGGCAAGTGAATGTGGGCAGGCCACTAACAGGACTCTGCTGCAGAGTACGCGCAGTTCGTGGTAGAGGTGAAGTGACCACCAGGAGAAGGTTTTGGTCTGGAACCCTGTGGTCACATCAGGTCCCCATCCCATCCTCACTTGATTTGAGGTACCAGACAACCCACCGTTTACTCATTTGCACTTGCCCCCTGTGGGTCTCTATCTGCTCCTGTTAGCAGAAGTTCAATTCCTCCCTGTTGACTGCCTCGAGATAATCTGCCTATCACCCAAAGCGCCAAACCCATCTACCTACAGAGACAAAGTGATTCTAGTTCGTGCCTCAGCAGAGTAAAACCCTCGCATGTGGGATGTAATTCCTTTCCTGTTAAAGGTACTCACACCGCCACAGCCTAATCTTTCAGACAGGTAAGCTGCATTGATGCAAAGCACGTTTGCTTCATGAAGTGACATGCACACACCCAGAGTGTGGCAATGTAAAAAAAGAGAAAACTGCTCAAATATTTCCCAGTCCTTAGCCTCGGTTAAAAATCCTACCACAGACACCAATACCCACGTACTGACATGTGAAAATGTTGCTGTTCATACTTTCAGGCACAAGTCTGTTCACAGCTGCCCTCCACCTGTTTTGACTAGGGGCAGGCTACAGACTATGGTATGTCCATGGCTAACAAAGTTGCTTTAAGACGTACTTTGTTCATGTTTGCTCATGGCTCAGACCTACTCTTTGCATCTGTGTCATTCAGGCTTTTATTGCCCTCATCCCTCTTCACCCTACTTCAACTTTTATGACGTGCTATCAGGTCAGCTCAACAAACCATGGTGTGACCCGTGTGTCACCCCCATCACTTGGTCTGCCAGCGCCTCCCCTCCCAGCGTAACCAGGCTTGACTGAAAGGGTCACCACGCCAGCAGTGCCAGCACTGACACCATGCTCGAAAGCCCTGACCCGTTGAGAGTACAATGCCAGTTACCTGAAAGATCAGCAGTCCCATCACCCAGCATCAGCTGTAGCCACCTACCAGTTAAGTAAGGGAAAGATTCCACAGATACGCTGCCTCCAATAATACCATCCAGATTTCTACTCCGTACATGAAAACTATCGAAATTCAATTCAGTTTAGCACAGATTGGATGTAAGACCTTCGGTTCAGCCTTTTCCTTTAAAGGGGTCCCAGCCTGCCATCAGAAATTACAGTAATCCATCAAGCAGTGCCCGCTGAAACAGCCTTTACGACGGGGATGCCGCTTACGCTGCTCTCCACATCTCACGGGCGCTGCAAAGCAGCTTGGTCTCGGCAATGCTCACCGTGGAGCCAGAAGGAAGTAAGAGAAGCTGCTCAGTGAGCAGGGACTACCCCGAGCAGAACGCTGCCATTTGCAAGCCCTCCGGGTCAACAGCAGCCCCCTTTCACCTCACCTACCTGATTAATGCAATATTTGAAAAGAGAGGGCCGTGGATCTGTGCACCAGCTGTGTGTTGGCTACAGGGACTGTGTTTGCTGCAGACAAGTGCTACTTATAATATTGAGACCCGCTATGACAAAACAACTTGACCAGATGAAATTCAGGTTCACACCAGTCCATGCAGAATTTTAATCTGAATCTGCTCACTGCAGCGTTTGCTTTAAAGCCAGGTGGTCCAGACTTTTCAGTGTTGAGCCAGACACCAGTCAGAGGTAGATTATGAGCTAGAGTTCAGGATCCGGACAGGAAGGAGCAAAACAAAAAGCAGGATGATAACCCTGGATTTCAGAAGAGCAGACTTTGGCCAGTTCAGAGACCTGCTCAGCTGAGCTACATGCCTAACTGTGACAGAACTATCCTACAGGCCACCTCTGGCTTGCATGCCACAAGCTGCAACATCTCAGTATAAAACTTTATGAAAGCTATGTAAATATGTTTGATATTATTATATACATTAATTTAAATACATGAAATGCCTTATCAAAGGTATTTTTTTCCTACAGATACCAATACCAGGGTCAGCACTGAGGTGGGAGTGGGTGCTGTGTCTCACTGTCTCTCAACACTTGAGGCGAGCAGGCTGTGCAGTGGAGGGAACAGACCGGGGCAGCTGTTTGCCGGCTGCTCCAAATGCACCGTGTGTTAGTGCCCCAACCAAACTGTCCTCCCACCCCCGGCACGGCTCAGCACATAGCCACACTGAGGAAAGCAGTGGCAGGAGCTATGTCTTCTCTCTGGCTTCCTTCTCGTCAAGGAAATACTTATGTTCACCATCCCTGTGCATCCTTGCAGCAAAACAAAAATACCAGAAGAGCGAGCTATGTATGCTCCCGAATATTAATGACAGTGACAAAACAGTCTTCAATTTTTGTTTCTGTTTTGCTTTCCTCCTTCCCTCTTCTCCCACAGTGAGAGCCTGCCTGGTGGTGTTCTTGCTCCGATGGAGGCCAGGATCCTGGACCAGGGCACATGCAAAGAGCAAATTCAGAATACCTGACAGTCCCTGCAGGGCGCAGCAACCAAGCATCGCACAGCCATCCGGCTGCTCCCTGGAACCTGGAGCACTTCCAGCAAGATAAAACACACCCACGTAGCATTGGACAAATACCCCTGCCAGAGCGAACTGTGTCAATGTGCACACACTGGATTATCTAATCATTCATCACCTGAACAACCCTGTGAATAGTTGTACGCCTAAGAATTATTCGCAGCATTGAAAGGTGTGTGGTCATGGAACAGCACAGAAGTGGGTCCAGGCTGACCGTTAACAAAAATTCCAGTGAGGATCTTACCCAGTAAACAAATCAATTCGATAAGCAGAACTTTCCCTATGCAATTTGGAATGGCAGCAGCCCTCTTTAAATAGTCATCTTTATTCTGGAGCCTCATTCTTACTATGCAAGCAGCAAAGGAAAGCAATTATGTTGAACCGGAGCCACATACCATTTGAAGGCACTCTTAATGTATAAGG